ATGCTAATAATTAAATAACACCGTTCTTGCTGAAGGGTGTTATCTGAGCCCTGGAAATATTAAGTCTGTCTTGGGACAACTTTTCGAGCAGATACTTTGCTTTGGTAATTTAGTAGTTCCATAATTACACTAATAATTTTAAATTTGGTGTTGAACTCCAGTCTACATAAAATCATGCAATAATAGCCTACTAAACTGTTTATTGCTGTCTCATAAATTTGCGAGCGCTGACTGTTAAAATCTACTGGCAAACACAAAAGAAAATGGAAAGTTCGAGCTGCAGTCCCAGAGCCCGGGCGCTGCTTCCTGGGGTTATCCTTTGCTCTACCTTTCCTTCCACTCGGTTCCAGCACAGGGGGAACCCCCCGGCATTTTAGCCTCAAAGCCGTACCTTAGCTGTTTTGATCCCTAATCAATAATCATGTTACAAACAGCAATAATCATCGATCAAGCGTGTCGTGACTGTGTTGTCCCACTCGTGTTAAATATGGAGCGTGTATCTGAAAACGGTGCCAGCGACTTTCTGTTATTTATTTTGGAGCTATTAGGTCACGCTACCATATTTTACACTGCCACGGTCCTTTAAAGTATGCTGTTTCTTGAAAGAGTTGCTAAGTAGCAATAAAGCACTTAAAAAAAACTATGACTTTTTTTTTTCCTTTTTTTTTCCTTTTTTTTTCTTTTTTAATTTGTTGTTATCCCAAGCTCTAATATTCATCGCGGCACTCAAAGTTCGTACATAAATCGTTCAGACTAATGAGTCATAGAGAAATTCGCCCATGACTTTTCCTTTGCAATGCTCACTGCCTTTCCATTGCTTTTTTGGCCATGTATTAAGAGACGGTGATTTATTAACGCCAGGAAAATTGAACAAAGCAGGTCCTCCTGCACTGTGGCACCCAGCCTTCCACAGTGTGAATTAGAACATTATCAAGTGTGTTTGCCTCCGTAACACTTAATCACCAAAAGCCATAATGTGACCACAAGGCAGCTAAAACAAAGATTTAACATTTCTAAATATTAAACTTGTTAAGCAAATGCTCAGCAGACAAAGCAAGCACAAACAATTAAAGTCATCAAGCTAGAAATACACACTACCTACTTACCAACACAGACCCTATTGCTTGCTTAAGAAGTTTAGAATCTTTCAAGATAAATCAGGTGGGGGTTTTTTAAATGGAAAAAAACAAAAAAAAAAAAAAAGAAAAAATGAAAGAAAGAAAAACAAACTCCAGTAACAAGGAGTTGAGTTTCACTTCTGAGAGAATCACTCCTAGTGAGGACTGACGGCCACAGATCCATTCCTGACTATCTGCATTAATTATTTAATGAGTCACGTGACCCTAAAGATTAAAATTTCAATATCTCCCCCAGAACAGACGCAACACCTTTATCTGCGAGAGCAGGGATGCTCGTACTTGGGTCCCCTAATCTCTCCTGCCTTTGACAGCTCCTCAGTTTCCAGGGAGAGCTCTGGGGCATTATTAACCAGGGTTTGTCCCGTTCTGCACAGCGAGCAGGGGCAGATTCACACCCTCCTCCCCTCGCGCTCCAAATGAATCAGTTGAACCCAAATCGTCATTGTCTGCGGCGGGGAGGGGGCTCCGCGCTGCTGCCAGGGGTACGAGAGCGCCAGGGCGCCGCTGCCCGGGCCGTGTGTCGGGGGTGAGTGCCGCCGGTCCGCGGGCCGGGCGGAGCCAGCAGCGCTGCCCGGGGAGCTGCCCCGGGCCCGCCGCACCCGCGCCCGTGGGCCGGGCCTGGGCGCCCGCACAGGAGGGACAGCCCCGCAGCGACACCCGGGTCCCGGGCCCGCGCAGGAGGGACGGCCTCGCAGCGACACCCGGGTCCCACCCCGGCCCGGCCCGGCCCTGAGAGCACGGGCGCAGCCTCCGCCTCCTCGGGGGATGACGCGCGGGTCCCCGGGCGGAGGAGCGGGAGCGGCGGGAGAGCCCGGGCGGCCCGAATGCGGCCCCCACGCCGGGCGGGGGGGCCGGGAGAGCTGGAGCTTCACGGCAAGCCTGTAGGGATCTCCGCCTGCTTGAGGGCTCCCCCCACCCCTTCCTCGTTTACAAACACAGGACAAGAAGACATGGGACTGCAAGCACCCTGGGGAAGCAAATAAAAAATTACAAAAAAAAAGAAAGGAAGAAATAAAGAAAAAAAATCCTAGCATTGCGTAATCCCCCTGTGCAGGATGGCCCTGGTTATTAAATACCACAAGGCGCTTGTCACAGTTCAGCTCCTCCTGTAATGAAACACCAGGTATAGCAAGAGCTTGCAGGAGAAACGAGGATGGGATCTCGGAAGAGAAGTATTTTTCTTGGTGGGTGGAGGGGAGGTGGGTGCCGGGGTTAACCGAGTGGCGTTCCCTGCTGACAGCAAATTGACTCCGAGGTGATTTGGTCTTTCTTTGAAATATTGACACACTTCCACTTCCAGCGTTTTGAGCTGTGCTCGCCTTTGTGGCCAGAGCAGATAAATCCGCGTGTGAGAGACACCGGGAGAGCGAGAGAGAGGGAGGGGGGCAGAGACATTTAGGTCCAAGTGCCGGATTAAAAAGAATACTGTCTTTAAAGGTCAAGGGTTTGAAGGGTCAGTCTGCTCCTCTAAAAAAAACAATTAATGGGATAGAAAATTTGTCCTTTCGGTGAACTCCTGGTTGCCTTAGCAAAGGGAGCACAATGCGAGAATTTAAACAGGACGATGTAATTTTTGAGGTTATTGTAAAGACGGGAGGTATTGGACGGGGAGCAGAGGGCTCCCAGCCCGGGAGCAGCATTCTGCTCTCAGCACAGGCAGAAGGGGAAGAGAAGGAAGGAGAATTTACCTTAAACGATGATAATCGGCCATGGGGTATTTTGCAGTCCGCAGCTCAATCTCCAGCAAGAGAATGTACATTTTTTTAGGAGACAGCCAAGATGCTGTGTCTTTACACATGACCACTTTTTTTTTTCCCCCAGGAAAATCCTTTGCGTCTTCACAGACTTTTCCAAGAGAATGCCTTTCAGAACCACTGTTGAATTACAAAGAAGTATTTATTGTAGGAGGTGATTAATGATTCTCCCTAAAATTGCTATTTGCAGCGTGATTTCATTTCTCTTTACAATGGGAGCAAACCAGGTTTGTACGCATAGGCTGCACACTAAAGAAATCCTGCACTGCCAGTTAATATGTTTCAGCTGGAATTTTGCTCAGTTGTGCTAATTTTGGCTCTAAACACGTTAAGGGATTCTCAAGCAATAAACCAAATGAAGAATTACACATTTGCAGATAGTAGTTACCTGGCACACAGCTATATTTTTCCCCTTTATAAGGAGACAACTGGCGACTCAGGATTTAGCAAACAGCAATATGTGAGCACAAGTGTGCTTTTCAGGCCTACTCCTTGGTCGGGTATGGGGACAGCCGTGTTTGCTGAGGGTGTTTACAGCTGCCACCTTCCTGATGCTGAACGTGTTCTGCCAGTGGCACATTCCATTTTCCTCTGGGATGGTACATGTTCCATGGCTAGGCAGGGATGCTGGCACAACCTATGGAGCCTGGTGCTACCTCAACCAGGGATGATGATGCCCCCTGGTCCTGGTGGCCCCACTTAGGTGAAGACAAGCACTGATTCCAAGAATCCATCTTGTATGTATTTGGGTGAGTAAATAAATAACTATTGGCCTGCAGGTCTTCCCTGGAAGATTTAGTAGCACTTGAGCTCCTTTCCAAGACCCTTCCTGCCTAGCTCAGTGCTACACCGTCTCGTGAAAGCCCCAAGCAGCTCTGTTAGCAGCTCTGCTTTGCCTGAACTCCTCAGCTGTCTGGAACCAGGGAGATGCACAGCCTGAGCTGGAACCAGCTGAATCCCATTTTGCCACAATAGTTGTGACAATCTCGGTCAAAAAAGTCTCATGAGTTGTACCCAAATTCATGTGTATACCAAGGCTTTCTCAACACATTTTGAAATAATCTTAAAAAAAAAGAAAAAAAGTAAATAGAAACAGAAAAGGCAGCTTAAAAAGAAATTTTAGGTTACCGTTCATGTATTCCCCTTAAACCGTGCTAGCCAGCTAAGAAATCATAATCAGGTGAAAATGAATTAATAAACCACGACTGGTTAAAGATTCAAAGTGTTATCACGGCATGGGAGCTTATTGGCTCCCAGAAGAAGCACAGTTTCTCTTGTCAGGCAGCTGAAAACAGTCGCACGGCCAGCGGTGGAGTCGGGCTCATTCTGCCTAAGTCAGCTAAAGAGAGCACCACTCACCTATACAATGAAGCGAGACCTTTCCTCGTCCTGCAACTCAATTTTTCCCAGCCAGGCGAATAGGAGTCAGGAGTTTTTTCACCATATTTAAAATAACCATTACCTTATTGACAAGATGAATCCAAGTCAAAACAATGCATTAAACTGTTGGTTTCCATTCCTGATGCCAACACCAGCCATGCACAAGGTGGATGAAACAGCACGTAGTGGACTTGTGTTTCAAGCGTTTAATTCTTTTGTACAGAATAATCTTTATTACTAGCATTTGGCACTGTTATACATTACACCAAAAATCCACAAATTGTACATGGACCCAAACTATTTAGACGGTGCCAAATATGAAGACAGCAACAGCCTTTATAACAATATTTCTTTAAATAAATGCAATAGGGAATGTGGAGAAAAACTAATAGATCACAGCTACTGAGGGGACTACACTTAAAACCAGTTAAGTTACCTTTGATACATAAAACATTTTCCTTTAGACAGCGTGAGGGGACCTTTTCACAAGTCTTTAACCTCTTGTGGACGTGTTCATTCTCCCATGTTGGTCTGTGTGTGTATACGTGCCTGTGCACCATCTCACACACAAGCACGCACAGAGAAATCCATGAACACACCACAGAACAGCGCTATTCAAGTCAATGCCTTACACAAGTGTCTCACGAGCTCTTTGCTTTGTTTTAAACATTTTTTTTTATTTTTAACGTGTTCCCTAAAAAAAAAAAAAAAAAAAAAAAAAAAGAGTCCGTCTTAGGTACAGAGAATTCGTCCATGACAGCATCCATCCCTCTCTTACACCGAGGGCAAGAGAGGGTTTCCATAAATAGAAAAAAATGATGGGCATGGAACCATTATCTATATACAATGTAGACAATCGTCCGGGTTTTGGTTTAAACATGTGCCCGTTCTTGGACACGTCTCGTCTTCCTTTTCTGCTCCTGTTTTGTTTTACACAGTTTGGTCCAAAAGGCCAGCCTCCACCTCGAGGCAGCTTGAAAACCCCAATAGATAGGTATATATATATATATTTTAAAAAACACAACAACAACAACGACAAAAAAATAAAAAGCCAACCAAACAAAAAAAGACCAAAAAGACTCAAACCAAAAACCGTATTTATAGCGCAGCTGCGTTGGGTGTAGCCCCATCGAGCGGATGGGGGTGGCCCTGTGTCTGTGCTTTGGACTGCTGGCTCAGTGTGGACTGGTTTGAGGAGCGCATCTTTGTGTTAGGCAGTTTATGGTCTTTCTTCCACTTCATGCGCCTGTTCTGGAACCAGATTTTGACCTGGCGCTCGGAGAGGCAGAGGGTGTGCGCGATCTCGATGCGTCGCCTTCTGGTCAGGTAGCGGTTGAAGTGAAACTCCTTCTCCAGCTCCAGGACCTGCTGTCTGGTGTAGGCAGTGCGGGACCTCTTGGGCTCCCCTCCGTTGTAATTGGGGTTGACTGAAACGTGCACACACAGGCACACACATACACACGCGGAGAGGAAAGGAGAGGGGAAGGGATGGAACATAATCATTATATAATAACTTGACACCGGGTTCACATAAGATACATAAACGGCAAGAAAAATTGTTTCCCAGCCTATCGACAGTGGGGACAATCGAGGAGCAATAAAAAATGGTGATGGGCATTTGGGTTAGAAGAAAAGCTTCAAAGACACATGGCCCAGAGCCACTGCAGGGCAATTAAATTTATGGGGGCTATAATTACTGCCCTAACAGTTTGGCGTCTCGTAAATCTTTTGATAAAGGACCCCGGATACAAAAGGTTTCTCACTTTTTTCTTTTTTCTTTTT